AAAGACAGGAGCACTTGGCCCCTGACGACTCGCACCTGGACCCCCACACCACAGGTGGCCGTGCAGGCCGACCAGGCCTCCGGGACGAACCTGCAGCCGACAAGCAGACAAGAGGACAGGGTGAGCAGCCCCAGCCGGGCGAGCACAGGGCGGAGCGGGCCCGGGGTGCTGCGGGCTCCTCTGCCTCTGGGTTCTGGGTCACCTGCTCCCCGCCGCCCCCTGGGGCTTCCTTCTCCTCACCCTGAACCCGGCACTTGTGCGCCTCTCGCGGGCTACCAGCTGTTCTTAAGCAGACGAACTCGATGCTAAACCCAAAAGGGAATACGCCCGGGCAGATATTTAAGGAGGGCTTTTTTTCTTGCAGGCCGCATCTCATATTCTGTGACTTTCTTTGCTTTTCTGCTCGGTGTGCTCCCCAGCATTTATTTATATTCATAAAGGGAGGTTTTCGGGTAAGTTTTCAAGAAAGGCACAGTCTTGTTCCTCAGACAATTCTCCGAGTTAGCCTGAACTCCAGCTCTTTTTACATTGGAGAGAAAAGCCACGCTACAGACTTAGAGGGCACTGGCACTCACACGAGCTGGTTCGCTCTCCTCTTTCTCCCACCCCTGAAAGAAGCTACACTAGAAACAACTTGTTCTTCCTTGGAAGGTCTCTAGAATGTAAGAATATCCAAATTGAAAACAAAGTTTCTTCTTCCCGTTAGTCAGCCGTGGCCCTAACCGCAATGACCTTCCAAGGACTTCCCTTGGGGAGAAAAGCCCGGAGGGACATTTTCAAACAGTATAATAATTTGGAGAAAAAACTTTGGGGTAAAACTATTTTTCTATGCGCCTCTTGCTCTCTGCCAGGCAGCTGTGAATGCACTTAAACCTGTTCTCAACCCTGACTTGGGCAGCGAGGGAAAGAGCGGATAAAAGGGTTCCAGCCTTAAACCCTAGCAAGAGTAAATGGTTCCCATCTCGTTCAGGGAAACAGTAACTCTAACACCAAACCAGTCCGACTTTTCACACCGAAGAGAGCATGGCGAAGATGCTTCTGGGGCCGGAGCCTGGGCTGCCTGCACTGCAGAGCCTGGCCAGAGGTCAGAACGCGGCTGGGGGCCTCACCCAGCCGCCTCAGAGAGCAAGCCCAGAATTATTCCCAAGGAAGGCTAATCGCAGTGTTACCAGTGTTCTCTCCTTGATTTTGACTTCTTTATCTTCTGGCATACAGAGAACGTGGGGGAAAAGTATCCTAAAAAGATTTAAACCTGCTCTCTTTAAATAATGACACCTGCAGGACCCTTTTGGAACTATAAAACCAAGACAGTCAATGATTTTTACTCTTATTATGCATTGACACACAGCTGTCTGGGTCCTGGGACAAGAACCATGGCAAATACACAAGCACTGGATTTTACAACACAGGTGTAAGCATTTATGAAACTGCCTGTTCAGCTATTTTGTTTATCAGGAAGGCATGAAAGCAAACGATTAGCCTGCCAGCTTCGACATTAGTGTAATGAACAATGCTTCTTTAATAATGTACAACTAAAATTAGTTTTCCAACAAAAAAGACGGCAAGAGCTCAAAAAGAACCGCACCCCGTGAAGTTTTCCTAAGTAATATGGGTTATTGTTCTGTCACTCACAGTACACCTTCTTGTAACCACACCACGACATAGAACCTTAAAAGTTGGATTTTTTTCCTTTCTCCAAATTCCTCAGGCCAAGGCCATAAACATTACCCTACCTCTCCTTAGCCCAGATGAATGGACCAAAGTAGACTGGCACTAGGAGGTCTAGTCCTCTCCTTCCCATGGCGGAGGAGGACTGGGCTGGAGCAGGGGTGAAACAAACCGGAGCGTGTCTAGGATTTCCGTGTTCCCTACTCCCACTGTTCCTCCCTAGAGTGATCCCTGCCTTATACACTTGTATGCAGGAAAATGGTGATCCAAGGTAAATGGGCTGCTCCATCTCCCTGGAGCTGGCTTTGAACAAATCCTCTTTCCTTTTACCACAATAAATGGCCTCTTCTGATTTCTCAGTGGTGAGCTAATGACCCTGAATGTAGGGAGCTTAAGTGGCCCCTGACATCTTCAGTGACCATTACACAAGAGAGCAAGGGTCAGCAGACTCTTTCAGTTGAGGGCCAGACAGAAACCATGTTTGATTTTGCAGGCCATGCAAAATGTCACAACCCCCTATTCTGCCCTTCTTGGCTGATGTAAGCAAGCAAATGCACAGGGCTGTGTCCCTGTAAGACTTTAGTTGTAACAGCAGGGTGGGGGTTGAGATGGTGGTGGAAGGGTCTGGGCTTGGCTGGTGGACTGTAGTTTTACGACCCCAGCTACTGAACATTTAGAAAAGATGCCAGACACATTTGGGTTCGCAGACACTCCCCAAACCCAGTTTAGGTCTTAGCATCGTAGACAGCTAAGTTAGGTGGAAATGTTACAGGCAGTCAGACAGGGGTAGGCCCTTGAGCGAGTCCGTGTGGAAGATGAAGACACATTACAACTGTGGCTGGAGGCCTCAGGTTGAAGACATAAAGATCACCACCTGCACACCTCCCTGAAGGGTATGCACTATGCTGTGGTGAGTAGAATCTGGTGCCTGGAACCTAGTCCTAGATAGGTGTCAGTCACCCGAGGGTGACCAGGACCTCCTGGCTCCTCTTTTCCAAGGAAGGTTCTTTCTGTGCAGACGTGCTCTGCGACCGCTCCCCAGGGCATCAGTATTACCTTAGTGGCTGTGCCTGTAACCCTACTGGTGGATCCCAGTTTTGTCCCGTGTTGTACCCACCTCGTTTGTGATTTTACTCTGTAAGACTTCTGTAAAGTGGGGTCTGTGGAAACCCATTCAGGTCCTTTCTTGTCTCTCAGGACTTAAAATCTCTCCCTCTCAATAAATATAACCCACTCTGGACCTCTGCTGTTCCTCAGAATCCATTCTTTGATTTTGCAGAACCTGAACTTGCATATGGGACGTCGAGCAGGTTGGAGTTGCCTTTCTTTCTGTCCTATCACTGGGAGGCCCTGTATCACTAGTGTCTCCCTCTTCCCACATGCACAACCTTATAGAAAGTTGCCAACCTGTCTTATGTTCTGTCTCTAGCACGTAAGTGAGGCAAACCCGGCCTCGGCTCTCCTTTCCTGAAACACACATGACCCTGCATTTGGGCTCCTTCCAGACCAGGATGATGTGGAAAGACGTGCCCCTGGAGCCCCGGGACCTGCTGTAGCGGTGAAACACACTAAGGCTTATTCTCCTTGTCTGTCAGTACACGTGTGTGGTACCTAGTGGGACGTTTTTCGTGCAGAGTTGGTCCATGCACAGAACACGTCTTCATTCTTGTCTCCTGCTCCTCCCCCACCCTGCACCAACTCCCAGCCCCTCCCCATTTACCACAGCTGTTTCCACTTTTTATTCAATTCAGTTTTTTCTTTCCCTTCCCTTCCTTGCACTCCTTCTCCCTCCTTCTCTTGTTCTCCTTCCCATTTGAGAAAAGACTCCCTTCTTACTCTTACCTTTTACTTTATCCTTTGATAGTTTGAGTTTCTTACATGAGAAATCATGTGATATTTAAACTTGTGTATTTGATTTGGTTCACATAACATGATCTCCAGATGCATTCGTTTACCTACACATTCTTCAAGTTTATCCTTCTTTGTGGCACAGTTGTACTCCACTGTATGTAAATACCACATTTCATTATCAGTTAATCTGTTGATGGGCACATGCGTTATTTCCAAGAGCTAGCTATTATAAATTGTGCTGCTATAAACATGAGTATGCCTGTATCATTGTAATATGATGATTTTAACTCTTTCAGGAGGATACCTAGGAGGGAAATTGCTCAATGGAATGGAATTTCTATTTCCAGTTTTTTAAGGAATCACCATACTGATCTCCACGGCCTTTCGGTATTACCAGCATTTGTAAATTTGATTTCTTGATGACAGCCACTCATTTTGGAGTGCGATGGCACCTCAGTGTTGCTTTAGTTTGCATTCCTCTAATGGCCAGTGATGTTGAACGCATTGGAGGAAAGAGAGCCCCTTTAAAAAATGGGGCAGAGAAAACTGACTATCTGCATGCAGAAAACTGAGTCCAGACCCTTCTATCTCACCATAAAATCAAACCGGGTCAAAGATCTAAATTTAAAACAGAATGACAATCTGCTGGGAGATAAAACAGGTGAAACTCTTGAAGATTTAGGCACAGGCAAGGACTCTCTGAACACAACCAGTGGCACCAGAAAGTACCAGGAATTAACAAATGGAGTGTATCAAATTAAAAAGCTTCTGCCCATCAAAGGAAACAGCCACCAGAGTAAAGAGATAACATACAGAATTAAAAAAAATTAGGCCCCTTAAATAAAACATCCAATCAAAAAATGGGCAACTGAAATAAAAACTTCTCAAAGGAAAAGGTATAGATGGCCAATAAATACATGAAACATACTGATTTTAAAGCAGCATATCTAAATGGAAAAATATTTTTGTGTGTGTGTGTGTGTGTGTGTGTGTGTGTGTGTGAGCCTGTCTGGACATTTGGAGTTAATTGCAAAAAAAAACCCAATAAACATCTGCTTTATGTCTCCTAGATGAGAGTCTTATCAAATGTAAGCTGCTCCTCTGACTCACCCATAGCCCACTCTCCACAGGCCTTCGTCAAGTTCACACCAATTAAAAGCAATTTGGTTTTAAGTGGTGCTGTCTCTTGGCAGTGTCTTAATTTCCCTAGTGCACACAAAGTATGGTATAATATATTCTCTTTTGTTAAAGGCAGTGCATTATATTTCAAAAGAAAAACATCTGATAGTGCAAATGGCTGAATGAATAATAACTGTTTTATATATGAAGTTTTCTCCATGTCCCTACGTCTCCCGACTCTGTATTTTCTATCTGGATTTTTTTGGCCACAGTGGGAGGAAGCCGGGTCAGGGTGGGGGCACTGAGCTAAAAGTCTCAAACATGATGTTTAGCTGTTCCAGCTCGAACAGCACTTTCTGAGCCCAAACCTCTAAAGTGGGCCCTATGAAACAGAGTGCAATCATTTTTGTTCCCCAAATCGGTATGTGAATCATAAGTTAAAAGTTCTTTTT